ATAAAGACGTATTCTAGTGGGGAGCAACCAAGAAAGAAGCCCTGGCCAGATTAAGCAGGCGTTAGCATCTCCTCCGATGTTAATGCCACCAATCAGCGGAAGGGAGTTGAAGCTGTACATAGCTGCGACCGACGATACAACAGGTTGCCTCCTTGCCCAAGATGATGATGAAGGTCGGGGACGCGCTATGTTGAAATTCGTTATTCATGCATTGAAAAAATTTATTTATCATTATATAATACATGCACAAAATTAGAGTATTATTTTATGCCGGTTGAAACTAAAGTCATATGAAAAGTCGATCTCCTACAATATTTATTAAATAGGACAGTCCTCTGAGGCTGTTTAGTTAAATGGGCGTTAAAGTAACATCATTCGCTTTGACATATCAGCCCCTTAAGGCTGTGGAAAGACAAGCCATCGCAAATTTCTTGGCCGAACATCCTAGGATGGTTCAGGCCGGTCCGTTGGACTACATGGGCTGGAACCTTGCCTGGTGACTTTTTATGGTTCCAGCGTCTCGGGAGCAGCCGGAACAAGCGTGGTGATCTCCAGTCCAGTAGAATAATTATGGCGTTTTTTCCAATAACTTTTGTAAGGAATCACGAATAACCAAGCCGAATATGAGGCGTTGCTATTGGCGTTGGGATTCTTGGTCGCAAGGGATGTCAAGAACGTCGTTATCGAGGGGATTCTCAGTTGTTTATCCAACAGGCCCTCAAAAGAACTCAAGTACAAGGAACCACGACTTCAGGACCTTATTCGAGAAATCCACGACCTTCTTCAGTAGCTCACGGAGGTGATGTTGGAGGACATACCTCGGGAAGAGAATCTATAGGCAAACGACTTGATGCAATGGGCTTCCGGGTTTAAGAGAAAATGAATACAACCAAGTTACGAATGTTTGTAGGCTGACTACGACCTTGATTGGCGAACCCCGCTGCTGGAAGATCTAACATACCCCGAAAAGATCGCTTCAAAAGTAGTGCGCCATCAGCTTCTAAAATACACTCAAATTGATGGGGAACTTTATCGACGGAGATCCAATGGGACTTTAGCACGGTGCTTGGGTCACAAAGATGCTATGAAGGTCATGGCCAAGGTCCACGAAGGTGTTGGAGGTGTCCATAGGGCTGGACCCGCTATGAAGTGGACAATCCTCCGTTACGGCTATTTTTGGCCACGAATCTCGCAGGATTGCATGGATTATGCTAAAGGATGTCCAACATGTCAGCGCCATAGACCAATTTGACGAGTCCCCATAGAAGAACTTTATTCGATTATAAAACCTTGGTCTTTCCTTCGGTGGGCGATGGACATCATCGGCAAGATTCATCCTCCATCTTCCAATGGGCATTTATTCATTCTCGTAGCTATGGACTACTTCACAGAGTGGGCGGAAGCTGTTCCATTGGCCAAGGTACAACATAATCATGTCATACGCTTTATTAAAAATACCATTATTCACAGGTTTGGCATTCCAAAGACGATAACCACCGACCAAGGGATTGTATTTATGAGCGCGAAGGTCAAGGCTTTTACAGTCCAATACGGAATCTAGCTGCTCCATTCCTCTCCGAACTACCCTCAGGCTAACGGGCAAGCCGAGGCGACAAACAAAATCTTGATTTTCATTATCAAAACAGCGCTGGAGGACAACCCAATGGGCTGGCATGATACTTTGGAAGAGGTTTTATGGGCATATCGGAATGCCAAATCATCCGTAACAAGGAGCACTCCTTATAGGCTGACCTACAACCATACACTATGCTTCCGTTGGAGATTACAGTGTCTTCTCTACGGATCTTAAAGATGGACCAGCTGCCAATTGGAGAGCAGGACCAGACCTTGCTCCAGAAGCTCGACGCTTTGCCCAAAGAGAGACTGAAGACTCTTGAACGCATTTGGCATCAAAAGAGAAAGGCTGAATCGACCTTCCAAAAGCACGTGAGGCCTCAGACCTTCCAAGAAGGTGACATGATTTGAAAGGCCGTCCTCTTGAAAGGCCCCAAAAATGCGAAGCTCGGGAAGTGGTTCCCTATATGGGAAGGGCCGTTTATCATATTGGCCAAGTCAACTAATGGCACATATAGATTGATGGAGCCCGAATGGGAGGAGCTAAAAACGTTTATTAATGGAAAACATCTTAGAAGGTTCTATCCTTCTCTTTGGAAGCGGAAAGGAATGCACGATCAGGCTGCGGTTGACCACGACCTTACGGAAGACAAAGACACTGTGGGACAGGCCGAATAAGCAAAAATCGACCTTCTTGAACGCAAATCTTGGATTTTGGCTACCATTGGGTAACCAGAAGGTTGAGATAGCATTGAAAATTAGGATTTTGGAGGTGAAATGACCTAGGTGCGAGGCATGATCCGACAAAATTCAAAAAAATCGCGTGCACTAGTCGATCCAAACACGGGGGATTTTACAAAATTATCCGGACTATATATAAAGTTGTGTCCAGATAAATTTTCTGAGGGGCATTTGTACACACTTAAAATTAAGTGGACCAGTATAGTACAAGCACAACCCAAGCTCTCGGAGGTTCATGACCCAACAGAAGGTCCAGATCAGAAAGTGGGCCTGCGGACCCGACCAATCTAGTGATCAAGTTAGCTCAACTGTAGAAGCAACCAAATGGAAGCTAGCAAGCAAACAGGTAAGGCATGATTTTAAAAAAAAAAGGTTGGAGATGTTGGAGAAAATTTGGGGATAAAATCTTATCCAAACAAGATTTCAAACAAGATTGGGGGAAATAAAATATCAAAAAGAGATAACACGCCAGACACCATTGATAGTCATCTTCTACAATATTTTCTCTTCATTTTTTTCTTTAACTTTTTTCTATGAATAATGTAATTATTTACAATTTTTTTCACATTAATTCTAGTTTCTTCTTCCAGCTTCGTTCTTGTTTTATTAGCTTATTCTTTTTATCAAATATTCGGATATCGCGAGATAGCCCGGATTCTTTCTTAAGGAGGCCGGGGAACCCTTCGAACAAATCGATTCTGGCATTTTTCCGATTAAGCCGCCGGAGGTAATTTCTTATGAAAACAGACCCCTAAAGTCTTTATTGGTCTAATCGTCGATGCAATGCTTCCGTACTGGTTCTCTGCCATGACCATGAAGAGTGTCGGCAACACTACTTTGAAAATGGTCGAGGAAGTTCGAAGGCAGTTCAATACTATTCTGGGCCTGATTGAGGTCTATACCAAGCCAAATTACGCCACGTATTTGAAAATCTTCACCGACGCTTCCATTAAAGAGATGATTCCTCATGGTGCTCTTGTCATGCTCACCCCTCTGATTTTCAGAACCTTCTTTAGCGTCGAGACCCTTCTGGTGTCCTTGCCGGTTCTCTTATTTCTGGCGTCCAGGTCTGTATACTACAGTTATTGCTCAAAAGCTTTAATTTTTTGCCCTTATTCTCGACTATTTACCCGTATTTGTGTACCATATAGATTGCAATATCCGCATCAAACACCGATGGCACATGGGACAATGCTAAAAAGTACATTGAGGCAAGAGACTTGATTGATATATTCTTCACCTTACTTTTTTACTCACTCCATCAATATATATCAAGAACCCTCGGCCCAAAGGGATCGGATGCGCACAAGGCAGTGGTCATTGGCGACCCTCTCAAGGACACTTCCGGACCTTCACTTAACATCCTCATCAAGCTGATGGCAGTCGAGTCACTTGTGTTTGCGCCCTTCTTCGCCACTCACGGCAGGCTGCTTTTCAAACTCTTTTGAGCGAGGCTTACATGAAAATCTCATCCAGCGTGTCTTGTCTTAAGTTTGTTTTGATAAAGGCTTATTACCATTGATATAGTAAAAAGATCATTCACTCTTTGCAAGCAAACTTAGAATTTGTAGTCTTTTATATTTTTTCCCCATGTGAGGGAATTTGTTCGATGGATAAATTTTGTTGGAAATTTGAATTATTGCTAGAGCTGTTAAATGGATTGGGCTATGGACCAGACCGGGTCGGTCGATCCGGGTCAGATATTGACTGTATTTTATACGGGGTTAAATCAACTATTTCAAATTTTTTTCTATTCCTGTATTCTAACCAATAAGATAATTACATATGTAGTAATAAATAAGAGAGAGAATAATGTAGCATTTAGTTAAATTTAAATATATTTTTTAAATTAAATATCTATTATTTTGCATATTCAGTCTTTTAAAAATTAAAAAGAAAATAAAAAATATATTATATTCAATTTCAATTCTAATTTTTTTTTATGCTACTTTATAATTTTTGTAAAGATGAATTATTTTTATACAAAATATTACATGCACAACTATATAAAAAATTAAATACATTCAATTTTTTATATAATACTTTAAGGATTTATATTTTTATATTTAATTTTTTATTAGAATATTTTATTTAAAAAAATAGTGAAAAAAATAGCATAATAAAATTATATATAAATAATTTTACATCAATTTTTACTATTGTATATAAGTCATTTTAAATTATAAAATAGCATAATAAAAATATATATCATTTTAGCGTAATTGTTAGCTTCATTTCAGGGTTTTCATAGATCATTAAGGGTTAATTTTATATTTTTTTTAATAAAAATTTTTTTATTGCATGTAAAAATCATTTTACATCAATTCATATTATAAACAAAATAATACTATTATAATATTGGATAAAAATAAATTTAAAAAATATATATTTTTAAAGAATTTATTTTGTATTTATTCTTTTATATAATATTGAGTATAATATTTTGCAAAAAATAACATATATTTATAACAAAATATAAATTAATGATAATAAAAAATAAATACAAATTAAAATAGGATATAATTTTTATTTTTTTAAATTTAAAAATAAATGAAAAGATTAAATAATTAAGAGAGGAAGTGAGAAAAATTGGCATAGAAGATTCGGTGCCACTTTCTATTGCCCCCTCTTCTGTTAGACAGCCGGACAGTGGGCCAGAATGCATCACGGCCGTTTATTTATTTCAATGAATACTCCGCCACCCTTCCATGTTGCGGCAGTTATCACATGATGGAAGTGGAGGTGAAGCTCCGCCTCCCAACCTCCGCCGCGCACGAGCGCCTCTGCGGTATCCTCGCCGCCTACCACCGCCGCACTCATCTCCAAGAAAATTTATTCTTTGACAGTCCCGACGCCAAGCTCGCCTCCAACCTTGCCGCTCTCCGTCTCCGCTTTTACGACCTCGATTCCCGCTGCATTCTCGGTCTGAAATCCAAGCCTCGAATCTCCGCCGGTATTAGCCGCATCGAAGAGCAGGAAGAGCCTATCGACCCAGTCGTTGGCCGCCAATGCGCGGCGGAGCCATGGCGCCTTCTCGAAATCGAATCCTCCAATATAATTAAGAGAGTGAAGGATGAATTCCGGGTGGATGCTGAAGGTTTAGTGTGTCTTGGGGGTTTCAGAAACGTGAGGGGTGTTTACGAGTGGAATGGATTGACATTGGAGATTGACGAAACGCTTTATAGTTTTGGAACGAGTTACGAGATTGAATGCGAGAGCTCGGAGCCGGACAGAGCTAAGAAATTGCTCGAGGAGTTGTTGACTAGCCGTGGGATTGAATTTAGGCATTCAGAGGCCTCCAAATTCGCCATATTTCGTACTGGAAAGCTGCCTGATTGAGGTACGTCGATTTCAACACTGTTATACTGTTAGAAGTCGCCAATTGACTCACAGAAACAAATATAACAAATGGAACACTACTGACCGTCTAAGACTGAGAAATCTGGAGGTTTCATGAATGAATTTGATAATGTGAGGCATAAACTGATAGCGTATACACTTAGACGCGATATTCACCTTAACAATTGATAGGAAATGGAATCTGCTGTTGCAATTAGACAAAATGTTGATTGATGTTTAGTTTTAATCTATCATGCTGCCTTCTCCACTTTTGTGTTAGTTAACTTCCTGTTGATTATTGTTTGCTGTCCTCATGTATGGTGCTGATTATTTAACCAGGCTAACTAAATTCTTGTCACAATTTGTTAAATTTAAGGTATTTGGGGAACTATTTGGTGGCTGGAGCCTTCTTGTTACACTATATCTCCTGGTTAAGTCCCTAATTTCGTGCTTCATCGACAAATATTCTAGGTCTTGCTGGAGTTTAGCAATGCTAATGAATGGGTACGAATTCCCTGTCTATTTATCAAATTGATTGTGTTATTCTTGTAAAAATTTTGAGTTAACTCATGTTGATGTGTAGTTACTAGTTACTGTGCCATTAAAGTCCACATTACTGAGGTTATTGATCAATAGTTTCATACTAAATCGTGGCAGAATAATATACATAAAGTTGCTGTTATCTGGTTGAACACTAAATTTCTCTTCCTAGAACAGTTATATGTGTTTTTAACAGTTCTAAGTAATTTTCACAACAGGGGTTACTTTAACTGTGCTGTTCTCAATTAATTGGCACATCATGCAGGTGTGTGTTAGTGCCTTTTCATGCTTTAATCAACAATGTTTGTAGAAAACATTAAACAACTGATTGGCTAGCTTAGTTTGCTGAAATTCATTCTGTAGGTTTCTTATGATAGATGCAATCAACTTTATTCGAAGATATCTATTAAGGATCACTTTGCTGGACTCTGGTCGGGAATGATTCTTAAAAATATCTTATATGCTTTATGAATATTTAATGAGAGTATTTGGTAAAAGAAAATTATGTAGCTTATCAGTTTGGATGATTCATAGTGACTAACAAACATGATTCCTTTTTCCTGAATGTATTATTACTATAATTTTATATTTCAATCGGTATTTAATATTATTAAAAATTCCTGATACATTATTATTTTCTTATAAAGTGATTATATCGACTTGTTTGGTAAATGTTTAAATATTTTTTAATTTCAAGTATATATATATAAAAACTATATATTGATTTAGTGTAAAGTTTGAGAAGACGGGGTTATATTAAGAAATTTTAAAAATAAAATGTTAAAAACATGTAATATATAATCTTGTAACTGAAAGCACTCTTTTAAGTTTATTTTCCGTCCTTCTAAACTCTTCTGAAATGTATTGGGTTTCTTTTAAAGAATAATACATGTGTTTCTTTGAAGTTTGGAGGTTTGTATTTTTACTTTATTTTGAAGTTTGGAGGTTTGTAATTTTACTTTAAATAATATTTAATAGGGTATTTTGTGAAAATTATATATATATATCTTTCTTAGAATATAAAGTTCAAATAGTAAAAAAAATTGAATAGAAACCATAAGAACACACATTTCAGCCAAACAGGGTTATTAGTTAGTGTTATATAAAATAAAAGGAAAAGGAAATACAGTCACCCCTTGAGTTGAGCCCACTAACTGTTCCTTTTCTCCAAGCGTGATTGATGGCAATAAATATTTCTTTCTTGATTTCTTAGTTCTCACTCATTTTACAAAAGGCTATGATTCACTTTATGTTAAATTCTTGAATGGAACCATGCAGATGGGTTCAAGTTTCCAACCACTATAAACAAAACAAGTCAATTTTTAGAATCAAATCACTCGACCACTTTTATATTAGTGTGTCTACACTACATACAATAGATAGAAGAAGCACACTTATCTCCCACTAGCATAGAACACACACTTGAGGCCATGGACTGGTTCACTTGGCTCTCAAAAACTGGCCTAGACCCATCCCTAGTCTATCACTATGGCTTAATATTTTCACACAATGAGCTTGAAGAAGCCGACATGGCTTACTTCAACCATGAATTCCTCCAAAGCATGGGAATTTCCATAGCCAAACACCAGCTGGAAATTCTCAAGCTTGCTCGGAAGTATAATGGAAGCGTTCTTGCACACCCCATGTCGAAGATCCTGATTGCCATCAAACGGACTAAGAGCCGTTTCTCAAAGTACTTAAGGACATGGATTCGTTGCAAGGAGTCTGGCCTGGCCATCGTGCCTGCAGGAAGCATCAGCACTGGCCGGAAGAACATCATGATCAAGAAAAACAAGAGGCTGTTGCTGGCTAACAAGCAGCATCAGAACCGAGCACCACCTCTGCTTACAAATGGTAGCCCGGTGATGTTCCCTAGCTCAAGAATCAACAGCTTTTCAAGCCCTGCTGTGTTTGAATTTCAAACGGATGATCAGAAACTGGATGAAGAGTATCATCACTATTGGCCCTCTGTAGTTGAAGACTTCAGGTGGGATTCAATGTTTCAGAACTTGAAACCAACCTGAAGCTTTTACCAGGGCCTTTCCTTTTAAGTATTAACCATTTCCTTTTTCTCTTTTTTCTTCTCCAATTACACCACATAGTCATCCACATTCTTCTTATTGTTACTTATTATTATTTTAGCGAGTTTGAACTTTGAAGCCCTGGTCGTATTTTGGGAAGATCAGCTCTTCACTTCACTTCACTGTTAGGATGTTTTGTGTCTGATTTAGTGAGGGATTGATTGTTTTTGGTGTCAAACACCAAGAGCTTATTTAATTTTTAGAATTTAGGTATTTTTGAATGGTGGACATGGAGATAAAGGGGAAGCCTACATCTTTCTTTAGTATGGAGGGGTAATCAATTTGTCTCTCTACTTTAATTTTTTTTGAATGACTCACTCACTTTGGTATACTTTAAAGATGTTTGTTGCTCTTGCCATATTATATCTGTAGGAGGGCTCCTTTATTACACCCTTACTTGGCACCTATTGATGCTTTAATGCCATCTTGTTTTGGTCATGTATTAAAGATGACTTGCTGCTTAGTACAAGAACAGAACCTACATGAACACAGGTAAGTTTTAGTGAGTGAATTAGGCCAACCATAGATGATACTTTAGTTGATCTCCACAAGATAAGAGACATGGTAGTAATAACAACTACTACTTCCAAAGAATCCATGCCTTAAGCTTTACTATGTGTTACAGAAAAAGTGATACCCTCGTCCCGTAAGGAATGACCTGATGGTATGAGGATTAGACATATGACCGTGAAGTTTGCCTGTCGGTTCCTACGTCATTAAAAAAAAAATAAAATGTGAGACCCTCACTTGCCCTCTTTTTGCAAAGGGAGTTTGTCTTAGTTAAGGGAAGGCCTCTTCTCTTTTATCTTTTGTCACTCTCAAGTTCAACTACCAAACCAATAATGGTTTTTGTCCCTATCATCATCCCCCCAACCCAAGAAACTCCACTCTCTATTCATTATAAACTACTATACACACAATAATAGCCTTTACTTCCTTATACTACCATGCATAAGGAAGCCATGGATTGGTTCTCGTGGCTCTCGAGAACCGACCTCAACCCGGCTCTCGTCTATCAGTACGCTCTTATGTTCAACCATAACGAGCGAGCTCGGGCAAGAAGACATACCTTATTTCAGCCTCGAGTTTCTTCAGAGCATGGGCGTCAAGGTCGCCAAACATCGCTTGGAGATCCTCAAATTAGCGAGGGAAGAGAATGGTGATGGAGGAAGAAACGTACGGTTGATTCTATGGCTTGTGCTGGCAATCAAGCAAGCTAAGAAGTATCTCACCAGGCACGTCGGACATTGGTTCATCGTGAGAAATCATCAAGTCTTTCCGTGGTGGCTCCGAGGAACCATAGCTTGAGATGGAAAGTAGCTATGGTGCAGAGGAACAAGAGGCTCAGGGCATCAGAATCCCCGATGACAAGGACCGGTAGTCCTTTGTCCACGGAATGCTGATGCTGACTGCAGGGAGCCATGTTGGCGACTCCCGGAACTCGGACTCTACCCAAAGCTTGAGCTGGGTCAAATGTTGAGCCCGGATGTGTCAGAAAGGATGTGCTCGCAAACTTCGCCTTGAATAGCAGCTTTTCGAGCTCTGTGATTCTTTCACTAGACACTGAATATTGGTCGGAAGAGATCAAGTGGGACGCAATGTTTCAGAACACGAAGCCGACGTGATGTTAAAGAGATATTACCTCATTGCAGCGCTTTATGGGCCGTCTTTTTCCATGTCCCTCCGGTTTGTATGTCGTCTGCGCTGCTTATAGAGTTATCCTGTAATCCGAAAAACTCCATGTACATGAAACCATTATCATAATTACTAGTAGATCACAAACATTCCTATCATACTTCTTCATCATACATCCTCAAATCTTATCCAATGCCTTGGAAAGTTTGTCGCTCCTATGTTCATCTCCAAATCCACCTGCAAATAGTACATAAATATCCGAAGACAATATAGTTATCTGTAGCTCTTGTGCAATCCTTCGACAGAGATTGACAACAGCAAGTAATACTTCAAAACTTCATTGGTAGCTAAAGTCATCGATTCATGATACGAAAAGCATCAATAGATTGAGTCAAGTGTCGATACAGAGCCAATAAACGCTGTATAGTATATATAAGGATAATGCCATGGAGGAAATTTATTTTCCAGACACGTAAAAAGTCTGAGGCATAACCCGGCATACGATTAAACACAACAATAATCCCAAAGATTACGGCCAAAGGGACTCTCTAGTATCAATGGCCGGAACTTTGAGCAATACGGAAGGAACCTCCTGCATAAAGCATTTGGTAAACTGGTCTAATTCGTAAGGTAAGAAGTATACTAAGCAAAGTTCCTAACCCACAAATTCCGGCTAAAACAAGGAATGTGAGCCGGAAGCAGCTCGGCCCCAGGCACGATGATCCTAGTTGCTTATCTGCTTCCGAGTCATAGACTTGACCGGCAAGCAAGCCTGAGAAGAGAAATGCCCCTGTGGGATTTCCCAGCTGCATGAAGTTGAAAATTATGCCGAAGTGCTTCAACCCGAAAAGTTCAGATGCTGTTGGGATCATTATTGCAAATTGGAAACCATAGCAAATCCCAAGCAGTGCTGTGGCGGCGTAGAGAGTGCCGTTCAGAGCGGAAGCATATAGAAGGAAGGTTAAAACCATGACGGTTTGCGCGACGCCCATCCAAAATGTCCTCGGAATTGTCTTAGATCTGCAACAAAGAAAGGCATGTTTTCTTACAAGGATTTGGAAAAGTAAAGTACAATTTTATTCTTAGATGAAAATGTTGTTTTTACCTCACAAAGTACTCGGAAACAGCTCCTCCTCCAAGCCGGCCCAGAAAATTACAGAAGCTGAACAAACTCAATAGTATCGTTGTATTTTCCACGCCGAGTGAAACCCCAATCTGAGCTAAATTATTGAGGACGGTGACGCCCGAACCAACTCCAAAAAAGTACACAATCCATAGAAGCCAAAAGTCGGCCTTCACAACAGCCTCACGGAATTTAAAATCTTCCCCTCTCCGAGGCTTCTTCTTCTTTTTCACTGCCCCTTCACCCACAGCAATAAGTAAATCAACTTCCGAAATATCTTCAGGCTCGTAAAAGCTTCCAAGATATGTAGTTGATGACGATGCAGTCAAAAGTGGATCTGTTGCCAGATTTGTCTCGTCTTCGCCAACTAATTCTTCTGAACTGGACTTATTACGCTTTGCCGGGAACAATGTCATTTTTATGGGTATCGCAAGAGGAGCTGCTAAAAGAAGCACCATAATGACAACCAGTATATAGGAAATGATATTTCCAAAAGACAATACTTCTTTCAAAACAGTTGTGGTTAGAAGATATACGGCAACGGTAAGACTTGCTCCTTGGACAAAAAGAAAATGGCAATGCTCGGCAGAGTCTTCTCCCGAAGCTGGTGTACAAGGGCGGATTAAGTACATCATCAGCAAATCAACGGTGGGGATGCCTAGCGCTAGTAGAAGAAGTAGAGTCGGCGACGACTTATCAAGGACCAAAGTGTACACCTCCGTAAAAACTGCAGCACTTAAACCGGCGTATCCTTTCAGCAGTCCAGCAACTGTGCCTCTACTGAGAGGAAAGTTCCTCATGTTTGTCACAAGAATAGGCGTGCCAAGCCACGCACTGCTGTTTGTGGCAATGCATAACGCAATCCACAACTGCCAAATTATCGTAAAAAACGAATTGCGCAGTAAATACACAAGCTCTTTACAATGGGAAGCACCAGATAAAGAGTGTTCCAGTAAAACAATATCTTAATCAAATGAAATGAAGCCCTTTTTCTTCATGCAAGAACATACACAAAACTAGGTCACTAATTCTTAATACCTTATTTCAAATTGGTCGAGAATGGATGTTTTAAATAATAGAATATTTCACTATTTGTGTTTAATAATCCAAAAGCTCCAGCATCCAAGGCATAAAAATTGAATGCAAAAATACTGCACAGAAAAATAATAAAACAAAACCGAATAATCCACAAATACTAAGTTGTTTTGTTTACATAGATACTTTTGAAACTTTCGACATAGACATCAATGGTAACTTTTTCAAATAACATCACATAAAACATTCTTTTCCCTCTCACTCTCTCCCAAAACATCAAATAAAATTATTCTTAAAATTTTTCCAATTTTTTCCGAAACTTCTACCTAAAGAGAGCTATTTTCAGCCATATGACTTAATGTATTAGGCACCTTTGGTACTATGAAGTTAATATTAAACTAATATATATGAATGAGAAATAGATCGAATGAGTGTTTCAATTTTTTATTTGGTATGAAGTATAATATGATTAGTGTTATATAAGTTTTCCTTGAGAAATAATATGAAATTTTTATTTGGTATGAAGTATAATATGGTTAGTGTTGTATAAGTTTTCCATGAAAAATAATATAAATCAATTTAACTTTGATCATTTAAAACGTTCATAAAAAGCATACCTGCCTACCCTAAACGTGCCTTTACCATTTATTTCTTCTTTGACATGAATAATATTTCTTTGACCTAATAAGTAAAAATTCTCTTAATACCATTAACCAGATCGATCCCAACATCTAACTTATTAGTTAATCTTATTTCAACCAGTTTAGAAATCTCTCTCAGCTACGGAACTAACAATCACAAATGCTTCCACAATCGATCCCAACATCTAAATTCGTTAATCTTATTTCAACAAGTTTAGGGCGGAATTAACAATCACAAATCACTAATGCTTCCAAATCTGAATATGAACTTCTGATAATTAAACAACAGAAATGAAAATCAAAGCAACACTAATTCCAGGAGTGTATATATATATATATCTAAGCATAGATACAGAAGAGAGAGAGATTAAGCTAAAATCAGAACCGAATGGAGATGAGTGGATCGACTTACAACCCAATACGGCATGGAGTGAACGGTTCGGGTAACGGCGAGCCAGAGCACGCCGTAGCCGAAAAATGAAGTGAAAGCCCCGACGAGAAGCACCGCCCATGGCGGGTACTTATTGCAGGCGATTCCGGGGAGGATTCCGACGTTCTCGCCTATGTCATTGGCGACTCCGAGAATCGTGAGCTGCTGCTGGCTTAATCCTAACACAGACTTTAAGTGGTGAGAGTAGAGAGGGAAAGTGTAAGCATTTCCTGAAGCTATTTGCACCCAAACTGCCGCCGCTAAACCGACCCACGGCGGCCGGCTGCCCTCCTTCAACGCCACCATGATTTTGGGGGAAATTTGGTAAAGTGGAGGGAAGGGATTTAGCGAGGAAATATCATCTATTGAAGAAAAAAACAGGAGAGATGTGAACGGTTACAGGTGTCGTTGTGGTCCTGGTCCTGATCCTGGACCCCGAAATTAATTAAACACATGGGCCGTTTTTGTTTAGCGGTACTACTCCCTCCCTGAGTGTCACGGTTGGTAGAAAATTTAAGAATTCTTATGTACGAATCAAACCAAATTGTTTTGAACTGTTTCATGTCGGTTACTTCTGGATCACCCAAAGAAATTATTTTTACGTCGGTAATTGTCAAAAAACTATTTTCACATCGATAATCGTAAAAAAATCGTCAAAAAATTGTTTCTGCATCGGTTGTTAATGTGAACTGTCCAAAAATCATTTCCGCATCGGTTACTTATCTGAACTGTCTGAAACCGCTTCCTCGTCGGTTAACTTCGTAACCAACCGTCTCAAGGCCCTCATTCAAACGAATATATTCTTTGAATGACCAACTAACTGACCCGGCGCCAACAACCATCCGACCAAATGACTCTGACCCACCATTGGATCGCCACTGGGCTCATTAATTCATCTTTCCTAAGCTGAAACTCTAATCTTATTTTTTATACTCAACAACTTGCCTCCTCCTCCTCTAACTCCTATACGTCACCCTCAATTGGCGCAAGAAGTGACGGATAGGAGTCTACAACAAAAATAGTATCATTACTATACTATTTAAGTCAAATCACGGGGTTTTTTGAAAACCCTTCTCCTCCACCAAAAGTTTCCTTCTCTTTCCTCCCCGATAATCAGAAAACTTTAGAAAGATATGTATGTTGCATTAAATGATAATAATAAGAACATACGATCTCTTCATGTGATCTTGAAGAACAGTATTGATCTCAATGACAGACACTAAATCATAATTGTCATCATCCAACCAAAACGCTCCTGATGGCAGGTTCTTGCTCCAAGCTGATATTTGAATCTTAACAACATGGGTAGGGAACATAATTTTTAGCAAGTCGACCAGTATCTCATAACCAATTTCTGTAAAAAGAAAAGATAATATAGAATGTGAAAAGAATATAATTATTTAGAGAAGATACAATAATAGTATTTGATCCATAAATAAAAACCTAACCTAGCCAGGGGTGATAATGACAAGTGGAACCTCATTATTTTCTGGAATTTCCTCCATTCTCCTTGTATTCTTTTAGATAGTGCTCATACAGCTTTTTTATGTAAGATACATAAGTAGCATGATCCCTTTTTCTATGAGACATAACCAAAGAAAAAGCATCTGAAATGATATTCAGAAGTAAATGATCATACAAAATATCATTCCATATATAAGCAGAATACATAAAATTTATAAGATCAATTAAGAAGATATGTATAGAACACAGCGCTCGATACAATAGAATTTTGTGGAAGGAAAATTTACAAAAGTGTGAAATCATTGAGATGAAACCTAAAATTGGCATGCTCATATGGAATAGTCCTTATGATAAATCCATTGCTAACTCAAAGCATATTGATAACATAATAAGACAAATGAAAAGGCAAAAGCATTTCAAATTTGAGGTGTTCCAAGAAAATTCACAAAACATGAGTATGTGACGATTGATAAAACAAATGTATAATGGACTTAAGTTTTGTATATTACTTTTTTCATATTAAAAATTTTACATACGAGAAGTCATATTAAAAAGAAAGAAAATTTATCAAAGAACAAGTCATAGGCACGAATCAATAATATACCGTGCAGGAGTTTTCAAGCATGGGATCTTCAAATTTTCATATCAAAGACACAAATGGGGAAATTTAGCAATATCTAATAGTATTAATATTGTAGATGAAAAGGTTAACAAATGGTCATATATTTATTGGTCAAAACAATAAATAATATACCTGGAGTTGTTTTGTCAATCATAACCAGTGACACGAGGCCAGAGGGAGTAAACTCTGTCTGCCCAACATCGGTGTCGAGTTATGCCACTTTTCTATACCTGTAATAAAAAGCTCATTATTTGAACATGGGATCCTTGGTAAATTAAACATCACCGCCGATAGATATTGTTTGTTGTGCAAAGGCACAAGCTGTATTTGCTCAACTACATACTCCTATAATTTTATGAAGAATAAATTTTTCATATGGATATCATGAAGGCTGCACCCTTACTAATTATATATATACATACTATATAACAAAGAACTTTAACAAACAGTGAAAACTATTTTGCATAACAATCAATTCATCTACATGAATATGTTAGAATTCATATTCGTAATTCCTGTATGACCATGCCAAAAATTAATAAGTAGCAAAGTTTTCACCTATACGAATTTGAGTAAAGTTACACTTCCAAACACCATGAAACATTCTTACGATAGACTACATGCACAAAAAATTCAACGTAGGGTTGAAATTCCAATATTGGGAAATAAAAAAGCATACATTCACGAGCATATAACAAATTTCCACCTTCATGACCAATCCTAATAGCACACTGATTCTCATATTAAATCACCCAGAAAACCTCAATACGAAAACAAGGAATGGAAACAGGAAAATGAAATAAAATAGTACTACATAAACACCTCTGCAGAAGAACATTGACCAAGTGACGAGAGAATGTAGTTTTCCCGCTATTCTTAGGGCCGCATATGAAGGTTATTGGAGAAGTAACCGAACCATAGGTTACGGTCTCAGCGGCATTGGCCCATTCATTGGATATAAATATATTCTGCTTTGAAACTGCCGCCATATCACCTAACAATCTACGGCGACGGGAGCAGCGTTAGGCGGTGGCAGTGGTTAAAACTGATTTTTATTTTTAATGTTCCCGGTGTCCCACGAGTAATATTTTTAATAGGCGATGGCGGTGGCGGCTGTGGAATGTTGGGGTGGGTGGCGACTATGAAAGAGGAAGAGGAAAAGAGAAGAAAGAAAGAAAAGAATTGGGGGAAAAGAAGATGGGGGAAGAACCTGGTGTAGCTGCGTAATGACTTTGGTGAAAAAGAAGGAGGAAGAAAAAAAAGAAGAAAGGAAAGAATTGGGGAAGAAGAAGTTGGAGAAGAACTTGGGAGTGGCGGCGGCGGTCTTTGTCTTCGGGAGAAAGGCGACGCCGCAAATTAGAAGGAAAAAAAAAAATAGGCGATGAAAGTAAGCGAAGAAGAAGAAGAAAAGAGGTGGGGGAGGACGGCAGCAAGGAGTAAGGACATCTTCAACCCATTAATGGTGCTGTGTTGGTTTATTTGGCGTCGGTTGTCTTTAATGGACACCAAATTTTGCGCCACTTTTTGGAGCCAAAAAATGGCGTTGCTTTATTTTTTTTTAAAAAAAAAAATTTAAATTCTAACTTTTAAATTTATTTTTTATTTTTCTAAATTTAAAAAAAAATTATTTTAAATTATAAAAATAAAAAGTTGTTTAAAATAATAGGAAAAATTAAATATTTGAAGAATAATAGTAAAAAATAGAGTTACGGTTGGAGCAAAATTACTGTAGCAACTGCATATTTAGAGTTAAAACTTGATAAATATAGTTGATTGGTTGGAGATGGCCTAAGGATTTGTTTGGTCTGGGGAATTTGGCGTGGACGGTAGGGGAGGAACTAGAAAAATTACTTCGGTTCAATCTTTTTTAAAAGAGAGGGAAAGGAAATGGAGGAGACAAAATAAAAAATATGAACTTATTTGGGAAAGATGTTTGTTTTTTTCATTTTATAAAATTACTATTATTTTCATAATATTATATATTATTTTATATGTATTTAATTATTATATGACTACGTATGAAAGTTCAAAGGAAATCCTATTTATTCTATGCATAATTCATTTTAGGAAATCCTACTTATCCTATACAGAATTTATCTTTCTTTGATCGAATCATTTTTTCCTCTTTCATATGAGAGATTGTTGAGCATTTAATAAAAAATGTGAAAGATGAATAAATGATTTTTCCTATATTTTATCTGATTAATTTATTTTGACTTGAAATAAATAAATAATCAGATAAAGTAATTTGTTGCAACTGAATGCAACGTGCAGAAGTGGATGGTTTCTTTCTCTTAGCGTGATTAAATATAAAGTAATCTGAAAAATATAATATATTTTTCATCCCTTTGGTGAAGACGGAAAATCATTTTTCAAAAATTCTCTCTTCAAATTCCTCAGGAAAATTCCCTGCAAATTTTTCTTCCAAAAGTTCTTTAGTTCAGTTTGCGAAATCTATTATTCCATTAACAATTTGTTCTATCATGGGAGGCGATCGGTAGAGGGCCACATTTGCTTCAAGGAAATTGCGAGGCTCGGATTTGATTTTGTATTCTATTTGATTTTGTGTTTCAGATTTCGCCAAAAATAATTTCCAACAATTACCACAATGATTCAGATGCTTACGATCAAGCTCTTGTGACACCCCGGCCCGTAAGCTCCGCAAAACCGGGCGTGTCAGGAGTTTAGACTGGTTCCATAGGTCAACACGAATCCTTTCAGCGGGCTTCTGTCCTCAGACACGCGCACCCTGGAAGACTTTTCAGGGGGTCACACATCCTCAAATTAATCTAGAACAATCACGTTTAACTTTACAGTTCTTTTAGTAGGGCTACCGAAAAGGTATGTGCACAATATTAACATGAGTAGTTTATTTAATCCATTTAACCTATATTCAACATCGGATGGCCTGACACCAGCTCATCCACGGGAGTTAGCCTAGCACCGACCTAACTTTGGGGTATTACATCATCCCCCACTTAAAAATGCAACGTCCTCGTTGCACCCGAAGGATCATCATCTGCTAGGCCCGTCACCAGTCCGATCAATAGCTGTGGGCTGTCGTAGTCGGCTCTCATACCAACTGTGACACCCCGGCCCGCAAGCTCCGGAAAACCGGGCGTATCGGGATTGTAGACTGGTGGGGTGTATTACAACTCTTCTCTTCCAATTTTCTGCTATGGAAAGGACCTGTGTTGCCGATGCTCACCAGTTTTGACCTTGTTGGGTTTGTTGGATGGATCGTCCAAACCCCTTGCGGCTACCATCATTGTCGACAGCAATGAGTCTCATAATCCTTCTTTCTTCGAATGGTATACAAAGGATTAAATAAATAGAAGATTACAATAATTTAGAAAATTGTATCCATAAAAAAGAAAAGGCCTAGATCACCATTTGGCTCAATGTAGTTCTTGCAATCAAAAACCCAAAATGAACAGATCTTTTCACTTTCTCGGGCTGGCTCAGCTTTGTAGCAACCCATAAGAGCAAGTTCAAGTGTGGAGTCGATCGGGAAAATGATGTGGGGGACTGTTTCGTAGGAGGAATGTGAGATTTTTGTGGAAGAAATTTGTGAAGAGAAAAATCTATCCAAAAAGAAGGCTAAAAGGTGAGGTTTTTTGTAAGGATAATATAGAAAATAGAGTATTTTATCCTAAAGAGAATGTCTTACGTAGATGGTTGATCAACATCCCAGCCTTGCAATTGCCCATAAGAGTAAGTCCAAGTGTGGACTCAATCAGAAAGGTGACATGGGGGACTATTTTGGAGGATGAGGGTTGAGATATTTGTGGAGAAGATTTTAAAGAAGAAAAAATTATTCAAAAAAAAGCCATATCCAGATTTTGGATCGATATTCAATTCCAGTGACATTCCAGAGAGATTTTCTTCACTTTTTACACACGTTCTCTTTCTCGCATAATTTTTGTTTAAATTTTTCTTAGCATTTTCATATTGATTTACAACTTTGTTTTACCTTTTCTGCACTTTTTAATAGAGATTCCAACCGTCTTTATTTAAATTTTTAGCATTTATTTTACCTTTCCAATTCGAATTTTTACCTTCTTGTCGTGTTAATCAGAATTGTTCCTTAAACTAAAACTATGATTTTGACTCATTGGATCGTTTTAGATGAACCATGCCAACTCTATTCAGTTTCGAGCATGAACAAATCGAAGAAATAAAAAGGGATAGGCTAACAAGATTTGTTAATAGGGTCCTAGAAATTGTAATAAGCCGTGACTATTTCCAATTCATATTTATTTGCATTAGCATTACAAGAAAACAACTATATAGCCATAAAATTAGATATGAAAAATTATAAATATATATGGCAAATTATTTTGTTATTGTTATGTGCTTACTTTTAGAACCAAGTCTCGGTAATCTTTTCCTCTTTACTTCAATCTTCTATATATTGATTTTTTGGTGGTATGATGTTTGAAGAATATTATCCTACTGAAATTAATGGGATTTTACTTGAATATTTATATAAAAAATTCATGTTAAATGTATAAAATTATATTGCATGTATACAAAATAAAATACTGCAAAAAATATTAACATACATATTATTTTATATAAAAAAAATAAGTAGCTACATAACTTAAATTAAAAAAAAAAAAAAAAGTCTATAAACAACAACAATACTAATAATAAACATGCGGTAACATATAAAATATAAGTCTGACTTCTATTTGAAAACTTTGAAATTAGCACAATATTTCACATTTTGTCTCGCAAGAGATAGTTTGGTAGTGTGGAGATAAACTTGTGACTGTGAGGTTATAAGTTCAAACCCTAATGGATATAAATCATGTATAGATCACTACAAGAAAATATCATTTTTGTAACGAAATTTTTTCGTCTTTAAATTCACTTTTTCCGTTACTAATAATATTAAAGACGGAATTAATGATGGAATTACGTTAGCTACGTGATCTTTAGGGACTGAATTCCATTACAAATATACTATTTTTTTTTTTTTTTTTTTTTTGTAGTGGATGCTAGATTTGAACAATCTAACAATGGTGCACATTTGAAAAAAATCATAGATGTTTTATGTGCAGCTAATCGTCCATTGTGAAATGATTGTGAGACACATTTCCAATTATCTACAGTTACTCATTTAAGGAGCATCAAGTTGATTATAATATACTACAAAATTGCTTCAATAATTTATTATAATTTTTAGGTGAAATATTGCCTTCAAATTATAAGTTGTCATCATATTATTATACAACAAACACTACCAAAAAAGGGGGCTATCCTTACGGTACGAGGGGGCGTAACAATAACATAGATACAAATGACTATTTTTGTTACGATCTTATCCGTGACAGAAAGATTTTTTCTGGTCAACGCCTGAGTTTCAATTATTACGCAAAATTTTCCGTAACAATTACAAATATGGTAATATTTCATAAAAATAACATTAGTTACAATTAATTTTCGTAATATTTTTCAATTAAATATATTTTTTTCCTCTTAAATAAAAAAAAAAAAATTGTAGAACACGTTTTTAAGCTTTCAACATAATGGGTTGTGAGCGTTTTTTATATCCTTAGACACCATTGCGATGGATCACTATCAACACTACAAAACGTTAGGGCAAATAAATTTTCTCCCTTTTTCGTCTCGTTCCCTTCTTCCGCCATGCGAGAGGGCCAACATCGCCTCATCCTTCTATCGGTGACAAGCTACTCCGGCGCCGGCCTTTAGGTAAGAATTTTGATGATTTCCCCTATCTGAATCCGTGTGTATGTTCTGGTTCTCAAAGGCCCATTTGATCTTCGGGTTTGTGTAAGAAAATGATTCTTCTATTGAGCCACTAGGGCTTCGGTGATTTAGTAGTTTTTGGGTCAATCAAAACTAATTCTTTACTCGTTTATTGCTAGGAAATCCGGTTTGAAAGAAGATTGGCTTACGGGTTCATTTCTATGATTGTAAAGGCTATTATGTAAGTGGGTATATAGTTTTTCAATTTCTTCTTAATCGATCTTGTTGTTGGTTGTTTAAGTAGTAGTAGATGAGGAGAATTAAAGATTTACTAAACCCAACTCTATAAATATTTTTATATATTTATATAAATATCAATGTTTTACTGGTATGGTAGTGAATAAGAGTGGGTGTTTGTCGCTTCTAGTTTTTGTCCTCATTTTAGGTGATTTACTTGTTGCGAGAAAATAGAAAAAAAAAATTGAAAATCATTGATATCCAAAATTATGGCGAAATCAAGGTTGCGTCAAACATTTTTATCTAGTGCATCTTCAAAATACCTTTTCATTAAAATAAAATTGGGATACATGGTGGCTGATGTCTTAGGCTTATTCCCATACCGACATGGGAATTAAGTGATTTAGATTTGAAATTGTTTTGTTGTGGTTACCCCAATATATTTTCAAGTCGGGATGAGAGTTGCTAGTATGTATTCAATAGGTTAAGTTATGTTGTGATTGCCCTTTTATAAGGTATTTATTACAGAAGGTTGGTTCTAATTCAATCCCAAAAGTGACAATGCATATTGCGATTTAGTGCATGTTTATAATGTTGTTGTAATTAATATAGATATCACATTTTGGGTGTTGTAGCTTAAATTAATATGGCCAAAAAAAGAAGAGTGCCATGTATCCAATTAAGGAGACAAACATCACAAGATTTCAATTATTTAAAGTATTGAAGATCAGTGAAGTAATTTGTAGGTTATATTCGATGAGGTTGGTGATGGATGGATGGATGCTGATGAGTTTGAATGTGTATATATATGTGTATAAATATTAATTAGATGATGAGGAAGAGTTATAATTAATCGTCTGTGGATATATTCAAAAATAGAGGTTGAGATTGAGGTTGAGATGAGATTATTTATTTATTTATTTATGCAATATCTGGGTGGTCTCCATCACCGGTGCTCCAATCTCTCCCTTTTTCTTCAATGCTTTCTTATAAAAAACTTGTTAGTGTTTGAGATCCTTCTATTTATTTCAATGCTTTCATCACACTTAACTTGTATGTTCTATTGGACGTTTCTAAGATTGGAGCCTTTAGAACGATGAAATTGACGTGAATATATTGTGACCAGCTTTTTATTTTGAGAGCTGACGGGGATCTGTTGCTGCAAAATATTGGCATGATGAATAACTTGCTCTCAGGAGCTTTTCAGTATATTCATTTTTCTTTTTTCTTGTCTAATATTTTTTTTAAAAAAAAAATTACCGTTAACGTAATGTCAATGTTACATTATAAACTTCCTTTTGCAGATGAAATTGCTTACTCAGTTTGGTACATTTTTGGATCTGGTGGCTAATAAGGTAATGATTGTTAAATTAGTTTGTAGAGCATAGATGAAATAAGGTAATGATTGTTAAATTAATTTGCACAATTAGGTGAAAATATATCCTCAATTATATCTTTTAAGTAACTAACCATATGCTCTTAGGCTGCTACACTTGTTTGAGCCTATTTAGTCTCAGTCAGTTTGAAGGATTAGTTTGGAAAATATCAACATGTGTTTTGCTTGTTATAGATTATGATATTTTGTGACTAGTGAAATAAATTGAATGAATTTTTTTGTATTAATTAATCACTATATTGTTATTATTATTTGAACAAAATATTGCAAAAATATAAAATATTATTATGATGTTTTGGGCGGAAGTCGACGCCAGAAAATAAAAATATATATGTATATGGTGTGGCGCTAAAGGTGTCGCCAACATATATTTTATTTTTATTTTTATTTTATTTTGGTATCACTTTCGGCATCAATAATTTATTTTTTTTTACTTAGTTGTGGCACCAGCTTTGATGCCTTTTTTTTTTTTTTTTTTTTTTTTTTTCTTATTTATGGTTCCTATAATGGCACCAAGAGTTTTATTTTTGGTCCGGAAATCAGGCGCAAAGGAAATTGGAATCGTAATTCTGTACCGGAGTAAAACCGTGACACATGCCGCGCCATTTGAGCATAAAAGTTGCGGTTTTGGCGCAGTTCATTCCGCGCCAATTCCTCATTTTTCTGGTAATATTGTACTTTGAGTTGTTTTTTTGTAGCATTCCGTTTTAAATTTTTCATGTTGCATCCCTTTTTTTTTTTTTTTTTGGTGTTTTTACTTTAATTTGAAGTTCACAGTTTCTCCCCTGTGAATAGAGGTCAACATGATTTGTTATGCTTTCCTTCGAGATCGTATGTTAGTGATAAAGAATAAAAGTTACCAACATCCAGATTTTCTGCACAGTTTTAAGTCCAATGTCAAATTTCTGCATGTTCTTCGTGCTATTGATGTACTGTTCCATTTGCAATTAAATTTTATTTCCTGCCAAAGCCATACCACGTGAAGAATGAAAAATCTGATGGATTTCACTTTTACGCATTTGGACTTTGTCTCTGCTCATCATCAGCTCTTGGGTCTGATTTTACTTGTTTCTACAGGTTTTTAATCAATGGCTATAAGGATAGGTCCGCATTTTTTTTATTAGTTGAGTTATGTCTAAAGTTCTTCCTTGTCTTCAAGCTAGTTATGTGAAACCCTTACGCAGTTCGAGTTTTTTTTCAACTATCAATTTTCATGTGATCAAATTTTGATGGTGTATTACAATACATGTGATTTAAGAACAAGAATAACAATTGATAAGGACAAACGGAAATAAAATAACAAAAGATGATTGATGACAACCAAGACAAGAAAATTTTATGCGTTAACCAAATATAAAACAACTTTTTTTCTTTTTTTCATCTTCTGGTGATAGTGGAATACTAGAAGTCATGGTTGATCCCCAAGATGCAGTTTCAAGAGAATTTCAGAATTTGGGTGTTTGTGTGGTGCAACAGTGAGCCAAAATTTATCAACTAGGCACGTCAATATTCTCGTCTTATAGTGTGGTTGTATATTTCTTTTCAAGAAAATGCTTAAAACTCTGGGGTGATTCATTAATGTTAGTTGAAAGCTTCTTATGCTTGTACTGTATAGTGTCAACGACAACCACTTACGATAAATTTATGAAGGAACCAATTCAAAGGTTTGTTCAGCAGTTTCAGTCCTTCCATCATCATATAATACTAAAAGTGATATATATGGTTCTAATTCAATCCTAAAATAGAGTGCATATTGTGAACTAGTGCGCGTTTAACTTATGTAGAAGTTTGCCTTATTTTTATGGAAAATTAGTGCATGTTTAACTTATGTTTTTTTGATAGGAAGTGGTCGTGTGTCAATGAAGGCATGCTGTGTGAATTCAGGATAATCAGATTTGAGTTTAAGTTATATTTTTTTTATAGGAAGTGGCCGTGTGTCAATGAAGGCGTGCTGTGTGTATCCACGATAACCAGATTTGAGTTTAAGTTATGTTTTTTTATAGGAAGTGCTGTGTGTCAATGAAAGCGTGCTGTGTGAATCCAGGATAACCAGATTTGCATTTATTCCCTATGTTGATACAATTTAGACATTAAGTACCTCTATAACAATATGTGCAAGGTTGCCTCACTTGATTCCTTTGTTGTAGACATATTTACAAAATGAGCTAAACAAGATTCCCCCTGAAGGGTAGACTCCGGCTGTTCGGGAGACTCTATACCGACGGGCTCTTGGGGGAAAAAGCAAGAAGCACTCAAAGGTTGACAGTGCTACGAGTTCAGGTCATCCCCTCAATGAAGCAACTAGTTTAATAGATATTGTAGCATTCCAGCAAGGGTGGGAAAAAATGCATAATGGGATATCAGAGTTGACGGCAACGATGACTAAGTTCAAAAATATCAAGGCTGATGTGTATCCATTCATGCACGAAAACTCTATAGCAGTTACTGGCCCATTTGAAGTAGTCGTAATATCCGTACTTTGCATAATTGTGTCCTATGTTCTTTGGATGGCTAAGGAATTCACTATGGTCTGCTTATACTACTTGATTGGCCACAACTCGTATTGATACGGTCTCTGAGCTTCTCAGGCCTGTTTCCAAATCACCTATGACGGTATGAAGTCTTCTAAACATGAAGTTAACTAGTAATCCGTGCAGTGTCAACTTTAGGCCAATTCTCTTGGCCAACTATGTTTCTAACTCATTTGTAATGTCTATTGTAGGTCGGTACCCGTGTGCTTATATTATCTTGTACTAGATAAAAAAAAAATTTTGCTAAGGGACTTGTGCTCTGCCCCCCGTGCCTGGTTCGTGGCATTGTGCCTTGAGATTTTTCTTTTAAATCCTTCAATATGATGTTCATACCGCATCGTCGATGTTGTGACCATTCAGGTCTCATTGTGCAGATGATCATGGTTTTCTTGAGTCTGCGCATATTCAGTTTGACATACGTGGTAGTTAGAATATTATGTATACGTAGGCTGTTAATGCAGGGGCAGTGGCTATGTTGGTATTATGTCAATTCTGTGTTGATCTTATATTTTTTATCGTTCACATGACATTGTTTATGGCTATGTTCCTATTACCCTATTTAGGTGCACATTGTAGTGCCAAAATTGATAAATGTTGGCCTTATTATTGAGTATCTTGTAGTTCCGAGCTGCCTACAACAGCTATTTATGTGATGAGGATCACTAACATATAACTTGATTTATTAGTCATCGGTACACTAAACTTGAACTCATCAGTGGGTGTATGCTCATATTTAATGCATAAATGGTAATTAATCTCCATTTGGATGGTTGTTGTTACGACCAGTTCTGTGACCATAAGAATGGATAGTTTTGTTAAGGGTTTAATGACATAACAACAAAATAAATGACGTAACAAAAAAATGAAAAACGTAACAAAAAGTGGTTATTGGACGTAACAAATATGAAGGGATAATTTTGTTACCGCTGGTTTCGTAACCATAAGAAAATATATTGTTTATTACGGCTTCAATGACGTAACAAAAAATCGTAACAAAAAGCGTTCTCTGACAAGCGGTCATAGAAAAGTTTTTGGTAACGCGAGGAACTTTTGTAACAAATATCGTGACTAAAAGTCCTGGCACACGCATGGGAAGCTCGACTTTTTATTACTAAAGAATATTCGTAACAAAAACCTTGCCATAAGGAACGTTGACCAAGAGTAGTAGTTACAAAAATGTGCGTGGCAAAAAACATTCGTTACGCGAGTACACATTACGGATAAAAGTCGTCACTAAAGCGTAGCAAATACGCAAATTACACGAAAATTGGCTTTTTGTTACGAATTTCCAGCCATAATAGAAAACTGTTTTTTTGGTAGTGTAAATAAACGTGAATGAATTGGGGTTACCAATTATTAAATTTGATTGCTGCGATAATTATTTTATGTTGAAGCTAAGTTAATGGATTGTAGCAAATTTTGTGGGCATTCATGGTACAAAGCATCTACATGAAGTAAGTCTCTACAGAAAAAAATTCATTTTTCACGATTATGATATTTATCATTAACCCCAAGATTGCAGAGTTTATATGATTATAAAAAGACAGTATAACATATATTACGTGACAATTCACACATGACACTGAAAATGGTGGTACGTGTCATCCTTCTGATGGTGAAGCATGAAAACATTTTGATCCTATATATACTGAATTTTCACAATATCTTGATTCATGTAAGCTGCATAAATGCAAACACCTAGTTTGATTTATATAATATATATTTATATGATTTCATAATTAAACACCAATTATGAATCGACGAACGAGAATGTGATATCGGAATTGAACATAATTATCAATAAAAATATAAGAATATATTAAGGAATAAAGTAATGCAGACAATGCTATTAATTGATTAATATAAGAATATATTAAGGAATCCATTATCACATGATTATATATGGACATACATACATGCACTACTTATAATTACTCCAGATAATTCGAGCTACAAGACAATTTCAATTAACGGACTTCAAATCAGATTTTAATCTTCCAATTTAATTCAATAAAAAAAACAATAATTCAATACGAGACTGCTCTGATATCATTTGTTGAAACTCATAAGAAATTAAACCTAAACTCGGGATTTGATGTTGGAGAAGTGATTTATCGAACAAAACACATTCGAACACTTTAAAGGGCCAACTCCCGAAGCATGGGCGGTTCACAGTTATAACTACGTTTCAACAACGAAAAACAATGCAGAACATAAAACAGCAATAAGACAAGGTGTTTGTTGACCCGGTTCGATTATCAACCAATCTACATCCGGGGGATACCAATCCAGGAGGAATTCCACTAACCAGTGCTGATTAAGGACACAAACAACCACAACTCATTCAACTCTAATGCTAGTCATGGCTAACCCAGGAAAATACCTCCTAAGGTTCTCGTTGCTACAACCTCGTACTAACAACGACCACACAACAGAGAATTCCAGAGCTTGATCATTCCCTCCGGTTGGAACTCCATTAATTCCGAACACCTTCGACCTCTCCGGCGAATTTTTCTGTCAAAATATTCATTCAAAACTAAGGAGAATCGATATGGATAGATGGATAAGAGCTTCACTCAATATTCTTCTCTCTAAAGTATGATCTCCAAATCACACATTACCAATCTTCAACCCAATCCGGTTGAGTAAATCACTCACATTCCTGGAATAAAAGATTCCACACTAATTTTCCTTTGCACCGTAATGGAAGGAGTGAGTTTCCATATTTTGAGCTTTCCTCAAATATGTCTTTTGTCTTTTGGAAAGTCTTTGCTGCAGAAATTAAGACACCATTACTTCATATGCCAAATAAACTTAGGGAATTTCCATTCACATTCTCCCCCTTTTTGGCATATGAAACCACGAATAAAAGTGCAGGAATTAACCTACTCACGCACTCAATCATCCAAGAGTGAGTCCAACTATTACATGCCAACAAACATAAAAAGGCTACAGACAGCCTTCACAATGATATGGTTGTTATCACTTCGGAGTTCCAACGAAAATAGTAATAATAGATAAAATCAACAATCAGCAAAGCAGACAACATCAAAACTTGGGCAACTCCCCCTGAAAATATGATCTCCCATTTTCCTGCATTACTCCCCCTTCGTGGGAGCAGATGACAAAAAGAACAAGTACCTTCAATTTGCTGAGAAATGGTTGCAGTAGCAACTTTATCACCGTCACCAGCAACTGTTCCAACAATATCATCAAGAATTTCAGTTGCTTCACAAATAATTTCAGTTGTTCCATTTTCAAGAATTCCTTCTTATTTGGTCCACTGGAAAATACTTGCAGCAGCAACATCAACATCAGCTGCAGCACCAACATAAACAACAACAGCAACTTCGGTTGATTCGACATCAGATTTGTTGTAGCAGCAACTTCGCAGCATCAACAATGATTTCTGCAACAACACAAGGCCTAGAATTTTTTCAAAATCCAGTGTAGGACTGAAATGTCCTCCACGTCGAATCAATCCATAACCAAAACATCAACCATGGCATTAAATCTGACTCTTGCCATTGCTCAATAAAAGTCTCTTCGTAACACTTCTTCTTTTTGGATTTTTCAACAAAATCTTTTCAAATTATTTTCATTCTCCAATATTCACCACAAATATTCCAAACACCATAAATATATTGGTGAATTTATTAAGCACCAATGCATGAAAAATCAAGTAGGGTACGAATGCATACCCAATTGATGTCCAAACTTTTCAAACCAATTTGCATCCAACGCCTTTGTAAGAATGTTTGCCTTTTGATTTTTCTTGGGCATCCACACCAATCTGACTTTAACATTTTGTCTGAGTTCTTCAGTAGGCCACTGAATATTTCTGCCATTCATAATGTCCTTCGCCAATCTGAAACATTTCTCATCAGTATGTCCAAGACATCTGCAGTATCCGCAGTCATTACGTTGTGATGACATTTGTCTAACACCCTGTGTTCTACGATTTTCATTCCAATCTCTTTTTTTGTTCTTCTTCAAATTCTGCTTCACCATCGGAACTAATTTGTTCTCTGGAATTTCAACATCAGCAAGAAGTCCACCCCGGACAAATGTAGTGGGTTTGCTGTGTGAAGATTCACAAAAACCTATTCCCTTATGATCACCAAAAGGTTTTCCAATCGAAAGTACTTCATCCAATTTCTCTTTTCCTTTTCGAAGTCTATCATTCTCTTGTTTCAGCTGGACATTTTCAACCTTTAATCTATCAAGTTCAGTTGATCTCTCACGAACATCCTTCTTGAAAATTTCAATTTCATCATCCAACTTTTCTTTTCCTTTTCGAAGACAATCATTCTCATCTTTTAGCCTCAGATTTTCATTCCTCAAAGCATCTGATTCAGTTGATTTAACAGCAACATCCTTCTTCAAAACTTCGATCTCATCTTCTAATTTATCATTCTGAGCTTCTAATCGATAGATGGTATCAAGTAGCTCTTTGTTCTTCACCACAGATTTCTTTTGCTCTAACACCATCTCCTCATAGGCTTCAATCAACTCATCAGCATCAAGTTCTATGGATTCCTCTAAAACTTTATCAGTAGAAGCACCATCATCTTTAATAGCTTCAGATTCATCGGCCATGAAAGCAACAACTTCATCATCTTCAGCTTGTTCCTCGACACAGACAGTTTCCTCTTCATCATTGTCACTCCATGTGGCTTGGTATGCTTTCTTCTCTTTTTTCTTCACCGTTGGACATTCAGATTTAATGTGACCAACTCCTCCACATCCATAGCAGGTAGACTCTTTAACTGATTCAAGCAACTTCTTCTTGAATCCACCATCGAACTTCTCTTTTGGCTTGCTGTAATTTGATGGTTTCTGTTTAGAGTATTTCCGTTGTAAGCTAGACGTACTCACACCCTGATAACTGCCACGGTTCTGAAGCTTCCCATATTTCATCTTTGTTGCACGTTTTTCACTAATCATCCTTGAAAGTTTTCGACTCAGAAATGCCATTTCCTCAGCAGATTCGATCAGCTCCACGTCCTCCACACTTAAGGCCACGCTTTTTGGAGTTTCATCTTCAAGATAATTCATTTCATAGCTCACCAATGTACCATATAATTCATCCAACGTCATATTTTTCAACTTTGGTGGTTCATCGAGCATAATCACCTTTGGCCTGAAATTTTTTGTAAGACTTTTAAGCATCTTCCTCACCAGCCTCTTTTCTTCAAAGTACATTCCAAGAGCTTCTGCTTGATTGACAACATCCATAAAGCGATTATAGTAAACAGCGATTGTTTCGTCTTCATTCATCTTCATTCCTTCGAACAATGTCTACACATGATCTAGTTTAGATTCTCGTACTTGCGCTGAACCTTCAAATGCATTTTCCAAAATGTCCCAAGCTTCCTTGACAATTTTGCAATTTGATATAAGCTTCGCTTGAGTTTCATCCACAGCATTAAAAATCGAAAATAGGGCCTTCGAGTTTGCTATTCCAACAGCTTTTTTTCATTCAACGTCCATTCTCTCTTCGGTTTCTTCACAAGAGTAGTAACACCATCTTCATCTTGAATGGTTTTCATAGGATGAGACCATGCACACTCAACAGCATCAGAAACGTCTTCACCTTGAAGCATCAGAAAGGCTTCCAT